CTCCCCCTCGGCCTTCCCCTCTCCGCGAGCACCACGTTGTCGATTTACCCAAAGAAGCTGTTTGGAGCTGTTAGGCCGCCCCTACGGCAACATTAATTTAAAACCGGTTGTTCTAACTTTGACTGTCAAACAGTCTTGTGGGGAGAGGTTTATCCATGCTTCGCCCCCCAGGCGGACAGCATAAACCCTTTTTCCATCTGTGGTCTTAATTGCGTGTTGTTTGAATTGACAGATATTGTATGGTGCTCCGGATGTCCAGGTGTTTGCTGACAGCCAGGGAGCAAGTGGTAGATCTAGCAGCTCTAGTCAACAGTGCTACCAAGACGCAGGTAAAGATTAAAAAAAGCAAAAAAAAAAACATTATCTTTGTAGCTCCATCTCTCTATCATACATATCGAAATGTTGTTTCCAGATGGAGCAGTTAGTCAATGTCCTAGATTCCCAAGCTCATGCCCAGACAAGAATACTATCACTAGAGGCCAAACTGCAAAACAGTATAGATGTGGTCAATGACTTACTCCGACAGGTGAAGAAACACACAAATGATATGTGCTGGCCAATAGCTTATTGCTGTTAGTTGCTGGGACTATTGATTTTCATTTTATCAGAATAAATTATTAAAAAAAGCTTCTTAAATCATGTCAAATAAAACATGTTTATTTTAGAGTTTTAACAATTTCATACATTGGTTGCAAGCATGCTACATAAATTTAATGTATAACACTTATGTTTAACATGAAAGAGCACAGTTCAGTTCATATAGTCTGACCACAAAACATGTACTTATAATTAAGCATACTTTTAAATGTATGGCTCAAGCCATATGCACTGAACTGTGCCAATACAAAAGAAGCGCCTAAATACACTCCCTACTAATAAAAATATGGATTGTAAGTTAAAAAATACAGTTCCTCAATTAAAAAGAGAAGACTAAAGTATGTCAACATATCACTTTGAGAAGCCACAAGTTGTGTCTACTTCTCAAACAGGTGGCTAATTCGTCCCGTCCACTTCCATAAGTAGACTCAACGCACGCATCCAGCCGGGTTGCATGCTTGCTTGGTCAGAGAAGCTATGCAACCGCGGTTGCTGTGGTAACTACAGATGTGAACAGGGCGAATCCATCTGGTAAAATAGAGAATGGATAGAAGCTAATTGTAAACTAACTACCATCATATTAAAAGTAAAAGTGGTCTTTAAATTAAAAAACAGAATCAGTACATTAAAAAAAAACGAAAAAGGCAGTGGCATTGTAATGGACACTAAAATCTGACCAAAATACTGTCAATGCGACCCCTAAAACCTATCACTGATGAAAAAATAGTAAGATTGATTCCATTCCATTTCCTTCTTCAAAAAAAAAACAAAAAAACGGAAAAAAAAATCATGACCAAGAAAGAGTAGAGATCTATTTAAGTGCATCATTCTGATTCAACATAATCATGTGAAAAAGAAGGTAATTTTGCAACCGAAAGGCTTTGGTTTTCAATTAGGCTCTGCGTTATCCACACAGGTGACAAAACTGGTATATTGAGCTCCTCTGCACGAGCTAAGATTGTTTCTGAACAAGGGTTGTCGGAAATAATTTTAGTAACTGTGGTCATTCCTACAACAAAAAGAATATGTAGTTGAGACATAGGCAATTTGATGTTTCACAAACATTAATATTTTGATAATGGGATCAGCAAAAAAACCTTACCTCTACAAGTTTTGGAAGAAGAAATTTTAGCTCCTGTGAGCCTAAGAAGTTCTTCCCAGAACGCCTTAAAGGTTTTGTCTTCTTCCCCTACCACGAGGATGTTCTCCCTACTCAAAGGTGATTTGGATTTATGGTCCCGCCATAAAACAAAGTCTTGCTTACTATGGGAATAACCAACAGGTAAAAAGTTATTTTTAAAGTTGGAGGAAAATTTTGTGTTCTGAAAAGAAGGACAGATTATAAAAACATATACCTTGCCCAAAGCACTGCATAACATAATATACCTAGTGCTTGAAATTTTACAAGTTTTGTTTATATCATACCTGCTTACAGCAATCAATAATGTAATCATGATTAATACTTTTGACACCTCTTGCAAGGCAATGCAAGTAAATAGGTGTCAGGCAAGGACGGTCTGACACAACAAAGGTACTGTTTATGTCCTTCGTCAAAATATCTGTCCAAAGTTTTAAAACTTTTCCACCCCCTTGCGTTATCTGACGTGCTAATCGATCCTTCACCATTGGACATCGAGTAAACTTGTAACATTCAGAGTCTGATGGATACTGCAAACTAACATCACCTAGAAAAAAGATATAGTACCAGAACTTAATACGTTATGCGCCATGCTCATAAAACTAGATCTGTGAATTGACAGGCACCAGCCTTACTTCCTTGTTGATCTTCACCATCAGTAGCAGTCACTTCAGAGTCAGTGACAGGCTCTCTTCTGTCTTTGGGCTTCATGTCAGTTTTTGTTAAAATAAAAGTAAATCCTGAAAATATTTTGCTGCCATCTGGAGGAATAGGTCCCAATTGTTGAACAATTTCATCATTATCTGAGGGGATTAAAATGGTAATTAATTACACATTAAAAACAGCTGAGAATGGAAACTGATATTAATCTGAGTGAATGACACCTACCAATGTCCGGAAGAGGCTTTTTTGACGAACTATTCTTAATTCCTTTGCCCTTTCTAGCAAGAGGATCAGCACTTGCAAAGCCTCTTTGTTCAAGTTCCACACCCACCACTTGAGAATAAGGTCCAACTTTCTCCTTGGCAAGAAGGGTGGCTAAAGGCTCTTCATCCGCAGTAGAAGAGCCACCACTTTCAAATGAAGATAGTAAAAACACAGATTAGATGTTGCAGTATTCAACGGATAAAGCAAAAACATTAGATAGAAAGCAATAGGACTTTGTACCTATCAGCAATCAATCTGCGTGATGTGTTGGAAGGCCCAGCTCTCGCAGGGCTGCTTACTGTGGCCTGACTCCCTTTTGGAGTGCGAACTCGCCTGCCCGGCAGATCGTGTAATAAATCCAAGTTCTTCAGAATTTCTAAAGAAGAGAAGGTTATTCAAGTACCAGTTTTATTTCACTTGCTAGCATCAGAAACCATATTAATAATGCATACCTTGCTCACTGCTGCTCATTTTTGAAGCAGACAATCGTTTTGTAGGTGATGAAGAGGATTGTGATGAGGCTGGTCTTTCATGCATCCACAATTTAGCCTGATCTTCAGTCAAGGCTAATTCTGAAATGGGGACAGTCATATTGCCTAGACTATCTGACGAACTCAAAAGCTCAATGGTGAAGAGGTCTTCCCCTCCTTTAAGTCTGCGGAAAACAGTAGATTGTTGCACAGTTCTTACAGTCTTATATGTAAATGTATTAGTATGTATCTTAGCTCTTATTGTTCTTGTAGGAAATGTGCATACTTACGGCGTCACCTCTGATACTTTGCCTTCACAATATTCACCAGATTTGTTTTTCACAAGAAGAGACTGTCCTATTTCAAAAGTATTAATGATCAAAATGTCATTCTTGCTCGAAACATTTTTGAGTCCATCTAGGAATGCAATAGTCCACTGGTTTGCTCGGGTTGCACTTTCAATGTGCCCTGGATAATAACATCTTCTTCCTGCTTTGTCTTTAGCATTCCATAGAGCAAAAACTGGAGTGCCTGAAAAGGATTTAAAATGTAATTATTTCAATGACAAGTGATAAAAAAGAAAATAAATATGTTTAACAGAGTTACCACAACGGTGGCAAAGCACAGTACCAGTAGCAAAATGATAGGACCCAGAACTCATAGATGATTCTTCGGGGATGCTGGAAGTTTCTTCACTTCCTTTTTTTTTATTAGGAGTAGCAGTCCTTTTTTTAGTGGAGCCACTAGGAGTGCGAGATGGTGTGGCAGCCTTTGGAGGTCTGCCTCTTTTCCGCTTTGAAGTGGGTGTTTCACATTCAGTTTTCACTAAACTTTCCTAATGGACAAAAGGAACTTCTCATTTAGTAATTCAGTTAAACCAGGAATTGTTACTGTATTGTTTATACAGAACATACATTCTCAGGATCCCTTTGAACTGTGGTAGAGCTTGAAACATTTCTAAGGGCTCGCTTGGGGTTCTGAAGTATTTTTATGGAATTACTAGCAGGAACACCTAGTACCTCCTCCCCATCATCCTATAGACCATTAATTAATTATAGTTACCGTTAGGTAATTAACCACAAAGATAAAACAAACACAGAAGTAAACAGCAACAATTAGTACCTCAGGAACAGTCTCAAGTCCTTTTTCTTCATGGACTGTCTTGCCTTCATCTGAACTTGAGTTGACAATAGGAGAAGATCCCCACTTTTCAAGAAGAGGTGCACCTGAACGGGCAAGCTCGTCTTGGTACTGCTGAAGTAGTTCTTGCCACGGGACAGGTCCTTTTGTAGAAGATTCACCACCTCTCCACTGGGGAACTGCTGCACGTCCTCGACGAGCAGATGCTGTACAAATTTTGAGAAATGAAGCAATAAACTTGGCCCGAAAAGACAGATTATGTAATTCAAATGTAAAAGCATTTCAGTTGTTGCACACCTTGATGGTACTGATAACTGCCTGCAGAACTACTTGACGTTGTTGACATCATTGAGAAACGAGTTGCATGAGAAGGCTGCAAGCGAAAAGGACCTGGCCCACTGGCAACACTTCCAGGGGAACCACCTCTTCCAGGGGATGACTCCTCAACAGCACTAGGAGATGAGTCCCTCTTTTCAATTGTTTTACTTTCTAATACCTCAAACTAAAAAAATACATAAGGTTACACTTTTGGTGGTAAGTGAGGTTTAAAAGGAATTGAATTATAGAGAAAAACTTACAGAGGAAATTGAGTTTGACACAGTTTTTTTCTTGTTCATGTCAATGGTAGTGTGGCATGATACACTGTAGGTACAAGTGAAAGTCATGATCATTTTGTTGCTAAACTCCTGGATGTTTTGTTCGTTGTCCTCATTTGAGGGCTTATGTTCCTTAAGTTCCAAACCCTTACTTGGTGATTCTATGGGGGAAGCTACATTAACAAGCTGTAAACAGATATTAGAAATAAAAATAAATAAAAAATAAATACATGTTAATACTTTGAAAATTGTAGTATCAAAGTCCACCAACTAACTGTCAGTGCCTACTTACATTCGAATTAGAGGATAGACTATTAGTGTTTCCATTTTTAATAAATTTTGAACTTTCTGAATCTTCCACAAGAGACAGTTTTAAATCAGGTAGACTTTTCTTCTGAACAGGTGTTAAAACTTGAATATCTCCAGAGGTACTCATACCCTGCTTAGTCTCACTGAAATCCATGATTTGAATTTCCCCAAGCGAGTTTGACTTTGTCACTGGCGATACCAACTGTAATGTAAGAGAAAAATAGTTTTTCTTCTTTTGCTTGCAACAATGTCAATGACTTAACATTCATAAGCTAGAAGAAAGTACAGTATTCAGCAACAAACCTGAATTTCATCATCCATATCATCTATTTGCACAACGCTAGTATTGTGACTTGATGTTTTGGAGTAATTCATATTTGGGGAGACAGTGACCTGAGACTCTGTCTGTGATTTTACAGAGTTTGAAGGTGGACTTGGACTAATAGTATTCTGACTTCCTGTTTCATCTGTTTCTACTTGAGATAGGTACAAATTAAAGCATTGTGAACCATGAGAAAGATCCTGAGGTTGAGAATTATGGTTGACAGTATTAGTAATAATATACACTCTCAGGGCTTTCAACCCCATTTCTACAAAACAGTAATCAGCAATGAAAATTATGAAATAGATTACCGGTGATCCTGATGACGGTTGTCTCTGTGGTGAGTTAAATTCTTGAAGAAATACAACACTCTGCCTGTTGTCAACACATGGTCTTTTAAACTTATTATCAACCGATCTACTGTCATCACTTGAATCTGAGTGTTTCCTCTTTTCATTGACTTTCTGGACATCTTCTTCATCAGAGAGAGCAATAACATCCCCACTCAGATTGTTTGAATGTGATTTGGTAACTTTACTCAAAGGTGTTGATGTTGTTTGGCAAGTAGGAGAGGTAAAGGGTAGACTAAAACAAAGCATTGAAAATTAACTTTCCACTTGTAGAATATAACAAAAAGTCAATGAAAACAATCCTATACCTACCGATCTGGCACAAACCCCTCATATCCTTGGGAAGACTGAATTTCTCCAGACAGTTGGAGGGTTGGCATGAATTGTGATGTGGTCAAAACACTTTTTTGGGAACTGCCTTGACTAGCAAACATATCTTGAGAGCCAACCATTTCATCAGTGTCATCTGAATCAGCTTAATTGAAAGGAGAGAGAGAGCAACAAAATCGATGTAGGCAAAAGAGGAACTAACAACTCTAAAAGAAATGGCAAATAATGAACACTCACTTGGTCGTTTACTACTTGAGCTACTTGAAACTATTTGGCTGCAATTTTTTTTAAAGGAAAAATTAATAAAACAATAATACCAATTTCTTCATGTTAAAAACCATACATATAAAAAAGCACACTACCAACAACTAATGGCTCATACCTGGAACTGCTTGAGCTGTAAGTAGCAAGACTTGATCGATCCTCTTGACTTAATCCCTGGCATAGATCAGACGCTTTGGTTTCTAATAGTTCTGAACTGCTTTGGGATGGGAATACCCTTTGACCTCCACTGAAAGTTTAAACATTAGTAGTAGACATATCACTGATTGATTGACATTTAACAGAAAACACTTACACTGCATCTGAAATGGTGGTTGGAGATTGATTCATTTCTTGTGTTAATACTTGAGTAGTATCTAGGCAACTATTGCTGCTAAGGTTTGTTTCTGGCTGAAGTTGAGGCGGCGTGAACTCCTGTGACAAGCTGCTACCAGTATCTGTTTGCTCTAAATCTACAAGTTTATCTTCTTTAGAGTTCTCTCCAGTATTAGATGCAAGCTGACCAGTCTTTTGAATGTGTTTGGGAAGAAGAAGGCTTTCATCCACATAAGTTGCATCAGGGTCAAATGACTCTTCTACAGTAGGTTCTTCTTCCACTAATCTTGCAACAAATTTCTTCACCTCAGGAGAATTTCCATCATCATGTGGAGAACATGTCTGACCAGTGTAAACCACTTGGCTACCTTGAGACATTGGTTCTGTATTCTCATTCTCCTCATCCTGAGAGGAGACCTTAATGCCACCTGTTACAGAACTGGGCTGCCCTCTTAATAATATTATATCTTCAATTTGAGAGGTAGCCTGTGTTCCCTCACGCTCTTCTGCTTCAACTTTATCTTTAGAGAAAAGGTTGCTATCATCGAGCTCAGAACAGCTCTGGCCAGTGTATACAACATCAAAATTTTGCGACATCACCTCAGTTTCCTCATCGCCAAATATCTGAGAATTTCCATTCTGGGACATATTTGCCTGCAATTAGAAACAACAGATCACAATTAGTCCCAACCTATGTGAAGCGAACCATCCTACACTCGTTTAGTACAAACAAAAATTACAAATTTTCTTAAAAATTCAAGTTATAGCCTATGGTGATTTAAAAATTAAATTATATACCACAATGTCAACACATTACTGTGAAACCAATATATTAAATCCAAACACTGCTCGAACAAGTTACCTAACCCTTCCACACGCATGAGGATGGGTATATTATGCATTGAAACGTTGTCAAGAGCAACTTCAGCCAAAATCAAATACCTGCTTAATAACGCAATTGACAACACATGTGATCAATCAAGATAGACAAATACTATTCAAAACATTCACTTACCTTGTTTTGGTTGCCTGTTGCCGCCCACAAGTAAAGCACGGCCGGACAAAAACACAACACAACAAAACACCGCTAACCTCCATCCGTCAAAAAACCTCCCCTCCCTCCACCCCCACTCCCCTTCCCCCTTCCCATTCCAAATTAATTTTCGGGCCGCGAGCGCCGCGAGAGAGGCTACCCTAGCCCTGTATGAAAAACGAAAGAAAAACAACGGAGGAGCACACGGGAGCTGTATAGGAGCCACCCGAAGTGGCCGAAGCGGGGTGGGGAGTTCGGCTCGGCCCGGCGGTCTCGACCTCGACTCTGTCTGTCTCTGTCTACTGCGCCGGGAGATGACAGCTGCAGCAGCAGTGTGCTGTCAGTCTGGAGAATTCTAGTCCGGCCAGCCAAAGGTGACGCCTGGGTTTGCTGTAGCCGCCCATAAGAGCCCATGCTACGCCAGGCGTCACCTTTGGCTGGCCGGACTATCCTTAAAATGTTATTGGATGTTAAATATTGCTAGCCCGAGCAGCGAATAAAGTGCTATAATCGCTCATAATGTAGTACATTTCCTGCGCAATTAATGCGCATTACCGAACAAATGCGCTGAACATGTGTTACCTAAAAACAGTCTTAGTGGTGCATAGGCAACAAAATGTCTCGCACTTAATGTGTAAAAGCGCATAAAATGCGGAAATGCCTGTAAAAAGGTGCATTAGGCGATTCAAGAGTATACCCAGTACCCTTTCCTTTCGGCCTATTTTTATAATTTTCACTGAACTAAATTTTACGAAAATGCAAAATTTAGTCAGCAAGGATTTACGATATTAGCAATCAAGTTGTTGACCATGCCCACCACACACAATTAATATATTTAGTATGTCATTACATTTTTTAAAGTGGTCTATAGATTAAGATCTCCAGAAATCCTCTGACTTTATTTGATGCGCTTCCTTATAAACTATATTAAAGATTAAATTTAAGCGTAACTAAATAAATTTGAAAAACCACTTAGTTTCATCACCAAATATCAGAATATTCTCTTTACGATAATGTAGAGAATCCATGAGGAGGGCGTAACTTAATTCTATAAGAACATGAAATTTGATTCCGCTGTGATCTGAGCAGTGGTTACATGAAGGTGGTGGTAATTGGGTAAGTCAACAACGAAGGGCTTTGCTTTTTATCTGTCCTTAAAATTTCATAAGCGTTATTGTATAAGCTGTTTGTTTCATGTATATCATTGCTGACTTTGTTTCAACTCTGAAAATTTAATATGCGTTAAAAGATAAAACTTTTTGCTATTATTATTATTTTTTTAAATTGGTTGATCCATTATGTG